ATTGAATTGTGTACATTACACTATCATTCTGCTTTATTTATGAGAATTTGATCAAATCTCTTTAACATGCAAATATTTGTCTGGTGAATAAAAATTCAGACCAAGAAAATACCAAAAAAAAAAAAACACCTTTTGTATTCATAAATCCATACATAAATAAATTTATGCCCAATATATATATAAAAGGTGTTGTGCAGGTATGAAACTGCATAACAACTAACATAAAATTAGGAAGGTCACGATAATACAGACCATAAAACAATGACACAAAAGCCAAATAAATCAAATAATCAAAAAAATGGCCAGTTCGTCAGATCTCTCTGAATAAAAGCAATTGCCCAGTTACCTCTTTCCTTTTCTTTGCTCCTGCGCCAATATACAAATTCCTCAACTCTGTTATGTCGAGAGCTTAAGAAATGGGTACTAGTGGCTTTATGGTTATGTTGAGAGCTGTAGGAGAATCAGAGGCAGAGCTGCATGGGTGGAGACAACTTAGGCAATAGGTGTGCCGTACCGTGCGTGAGGTAAGGAGGACCTGGAGCCCTGGAGCTAGAGGCGAGTGGAGGCAACTCAAGCAAGCAAGCAACCACTATCGTCAAGAGCTTGAGGAGAATCAAAGATGAGGAACAGAGTTATAGAGCCAGAGGAGAGAGGACGAACCTAGAAATTTCGATAGTTGGTTACTAGGATTACTAAAAATGAGTTGCGCAAATTAGGCTAGGCAATTGGGGAGACTGCAAAAAGAATGGGCTATGAAATTGATGTTGAATTGGTATTGGGTTAACTAATTAGGTTAGGTGAATAAAAATTAATTATTAATATATTTTAAAATATATATATACATAAATAAATATATTTTTATTTTATATGGATTCTTAAGAATCATATGAATGAACAAAATTTCTTATAAAATTTTACAAGAAAAAAAATATTTCTATCTTTATTTCATGAAAAAAAAAATTCTCAAAATCTCCATCTCTTAACAAGAATCTCTGCGAAGCTACACGGACATCAGAGCAAATTGTCATTCCTAATTTATCCCAACAACCAGCACAATGATCTAAGTCGAATCGCATTGCTTTTCATGCGTATTTATTTATAAACGCAGCCTACCTGTTACATTGTAGTAGTGTTTCCACAGTCACTTTCCTGCTTGCCTTTGTCTCTACCTTTTTGTTTTTTCGTTTCTGCTGAAAGAGGAAGGCACAAGTAAGAATTAAGCTCAGATGAGAAGAAGGACTCTTTATATCTGACCATACCTCACCGCCAAGGGAATGGTTTCAAAGTCGAAGCACGTGCCCTCGTCAGTTTGTCAGGTTAATTTTTGTTCATAGTTTAGAGTAATTAATTAAGCATGATTTTCTTGGCCACCTTGGTTAATGCATTGTTTTAATCATTATAGGCACCTCAGGAACGTGACCTGATTTCAGAGAAAATGGAAGAAGAAGGAGAAGAGGCAGAGAGTTAATAATTGCATTATATAATTAAAATGACTCTTTTATGCATTAAACTGATCATTTGCTGTTAATATAATACAACCAAGCCAAATCATACCGCTTATTCTTACAAAGATATCATCAATAGAATAATAATTGAATGATTTTTGATCATAAACTTCCAAAAGTAATCATTGAAATCAGAATTACAAATCAGACTTGTGCAAGGATATATAGGTACCAATTAATGCTACAACATATATTAATAGTTGAGTCCACAAATGCCAAACCTGGAAACTAATTAATTATGTACTCTTATTCATTCTATGTTAATTCTAACAACCTTCTTGGTTCCATCCCCATGAGAATTAGTCCCAGCTTCACTATCTGCTCTCCCTCCAGCATTCCAGATCAACTTCTTAAATGGTAGTGTCCATCCTCTTCACAACGCCTTCCCTTTTGGTTTGTCACTGCTAGATCCTGCATTCCCAATGGTTGCAGGCAATAAAATGGACCAAAACATAGCTAAAAGCTAAAGACCATGATCAGCAGCATGATGCATAAGGGAGAGAAACAGGGATAATATTACATATGCAGAAGGTTAACTTTTCAATAAATAGTGAAGTACAGGCTTAAGCAAGAAGAAACAAGTGATTGCTAACCTAACTTGATAACCAACCATAAAGCAACAAAACAAATGCTTACCAGCATTTTCATGCATACCAAATCCATCATCCCAGCCAGGCAAATACCCTTTCACATTACCATTCCAAGCCTCTTCAAAACTGGCAAGCTCATCTGGAGAGGAGTTGCAATGTGACTACATTAATCCTTCGTTTCAAACATAAATGCTCCTTAACGATCATTGCTGGCAGTGGTAACTCACCTTCATTCAAATTGTGTAACATTTGCATTGCGTCCACCTTACCATCTGCATTAAGTTTTCTTGTAACAGAATGGCCCTGCAAAATACAGCTCACAAAAAAAAACCAGCCCATTTATAATCATTTCATAATTTGGTTCACATCCAGAACTAGATTTTTAGTCTGGATTTTTTTATGAATTCCAACCACCACCCCCTCCCCCCCCAATACACAAACACACACACACACAAAAGCACAAAGGCATAATATAATAATTCTACAACCACCTTATCATTAATTCCTCTAGATATCCTATGTGTTGCTTGACCTGTTGTCGTATCTGCTTCTTTGCTCTCCTCAATTAACACCTGCAACACAAACACAGACATCAAGAACAAGAAAGAATCCTGTAACAAACAAGTATACAATTAGAAGTTACTTACACCATCACTGCCTGTCCTTCTGGTTCTGGTAGAAGTGTAATAAGCACTATCTATACCACCATAAGTAACTTTGCAGGTCTGAACACTAAAAGTGCGAGCCTCTGACTTGGTTCCTTCCACCCTGTCATAGTCATTTCTAAGATTCATCTTCCTCTCTCCACTGGAAAAACAAGCAAAAATAATTGTTAGTCTTATACACAAAAAATTACCACCTAAATCAACACCTCACTTACATGCTACTTATTAAAATTCACCGTTAGGACTGTTATCTGGGTGCTCAACGGATGGTTCGTTGCTTGACATAGAACGGTCAGCAGTGCCTTTTTCTGCTTTTCCTTGCTCAGCATCAGAGTCCAGCTCTTGTATTACTATTCCATTTACTCCATTTTTCCTTGGTGCATCAAGAGAAGTAGCTCCGATACCATCAAAGATGCTACCAAATGGACGAGTGAAGAATGGATCATCAAAAGGATCCCTCCCACCAAATAGGTTAGGCATCATGGTTCTATGCAATCCAAAGCCACCAAACCCTGGAAAAGCCCCATACTGGTCGCCCATATCAAAGAGGTCATCCCTACTATTATTTCCCCTCTGCATCTTATACGCGTGTTCCTCTTCGAAACCAGCAAAAACAGTTTAAGAAAAACAGAACATATTTTAAAGAAAAAAAAAAAGAGTCTTTAAAAATGGCTTTAATACCACTTGAACTTATGCTTCTATAGCAATGTACAAAAGAAAAAGAGATTGTCAAAAACATTTAACAGAAAAAGAATCATGAACATTCACAAACCATAATCAACATAGGTGAATGTATGGTGTATAGTGTATACAAATCCAGATTTTCAAAAGATCATTATGAATGTGTTTGTACATTCAGACTCCAAAAGGCAAATCACATTGAAAAAAGCTATTTACCATCAACTTTGATGCTTTATCTACTTCATTGGACGAATTACGTAATTCATTTCAATACGACAATACCTGGTAATCTGTTATAGATCCTGCAGAATGGATTTAAGTAGAAAATTGGAAAACAACTAAAAGCTACCATAGAATTCTCATGAAATTTACCATGATGACAATTAAGTATCTATTTCATTTTTTCAGCTGATTATTGTTATTTGTTACATTACCAAACCACTCCTTGAATTATCAAGAAAAAAGCAATTCTATCCAAATGAAAAAATTCTAATCAAGGTGATCCTATAACAATTGAATTACCTTCATCATAAATTTAAAAGGATAGTTCAGTTTACCCAAAAAAAAAAAAAAATTCTCAGAGTCCGTTGTATACAGTTCATTAAATAAATGAGAAATCAAGCATAGAACTAACAAACTAAAATGTTGAACACAGCAGCTGTTTGTCATCGTTTTTCCTAGGCTCCACAACATTGCCAAAGGAAAAGAAATTGAACTTCCATGGTGAAAATGTATAATCCTAAAGGAAGAATTCTATAATGAAGAATCATCAACTTAGCATCCAACTTCCAAACAATTGCAGGGTCTGTTTGGCTTGGCTGCCGAGAATACAATGAGAGAATAGATCAGGTTACCTGATGGAAGCTGCAATAGATAGATTGAGTACAAAAGAAGGCACCAGAATAATCTTCATCTTGTCTTTTGCGAGAAGCGAATTTATATTAGTAGTCAACGAAAGGGAACGCCTGAGAACGCGACACGTCATATGCAATCTAGAATGTTTCAGGTTTTATCTTTTTTTTTTTTAATTGTTATTATGGAATAAAAAAAAATTAGTGCTGTTGTTCTCTTTTTTTTTTTTTAAGCGTTATTTAAAATTTTATTTTCTGTTTAAAAGATAATTGTTGAATTAAAAATTTTATTTACATAATTATATATTAATTTAATATTTTTAATAAAAAATTTATTTACATAATTAAATTTTATATAATTAACAAATTATATATGATCAATATTAACAAAATTTTTAATTTAATTGATTAATTTTTAAAAATATTACTTAAAAAATAAAATTTTTGAAAAAACCTTTGAAAAAATTCAAAGAGAAAAAATTTCAAGGAAAAAAAAGGTGCAAAACACATTTTTTAAGACAGGCTCGAATGTTATTTTTTCCTTTGTAATTTAGTTATGAACCAAGTAAACTCCTCTATTTCTAGATTCAAAATTAACTGAAAAAGTGAAGTCATTCAAATATTCCCTGCCAGTAATGATCAAACTTAACGACATACAATTAGTGAAAAAAATAAAGCAGAAGGTGTAATGTCTGCGTTGAGAAAACAAAAATAAGTTAAGTAACTAAGGGATTACTTTGAAGGATAAGAAGACTCTGTAAACAAAAGTTATTCTATATTTCATTTTTTTTCCCCCAATAAACATACAACAAAGGTACACAGCATCAAGCAACAAGGTGAAGAGTTACATTCTATCTACACCCTAAACTTGTACTCTCCCATAAAAAAAATATATGTATAATTAGAACATGAAAAATTTAAAACATCACCATTCATCAGCAATCCCCACATCTGCAACTTTTCCCTGATTTTTTGTTACTAGAAAGTGAGCCCCTTCTCCTCTCATCTTATCAAAAATATGCCCGTGGAAATGAACTGTTAGGTGGCCAAAATGGCCAGATAATTTATCAGGTAGGATGTAGGAGAATGATTTCTGGGGACACTGCATCTAAAGTTACCAGAAAAGAATTTTCAAATTTCTTGGTCTGGGAGTTAGGTTTTCAGACCTCTTGGGAATCAAAGTCAGGCTTTGATGGGTATTCAAGACCCTGAAGTGCTGGTATCTTCCGTAAATCTTCGTCAGAGTATGCTGGAAGGAACCAGTATCGTCTGTCTGTGCCAAAAACCTATATGTAAACACTAAAACTTTGATTATGCTGATATAAACTCGCAATAAAAGCACTTCATTAGCATGCAATCTCCATTCCCAATAACAAGATGGAAATTTTCACAAATTTACTATGAATATTCATAAATTTGTTACAAAGGGAGTGATGAAGTTCAGAAATGTATGACATGAGAAAGCAAATCACTAATACTCGTATGGTATAGGCTAAATCAAATTCAGAAGATTCTGTAAAGTCAGTGCCTAAAATATTCCTTTGTGGAACTTCGTTTAATTCTGAGATCAATTAATTTTTGACCAGAAAACAAACCATAAAAGATGCATTCTTTGTAGATCACAAGCAAGACAATTTTTTTTTTAAGAATTGCTCAAGACAAAAATAGCAATTTAATACGATAAGTGCTGACCTGTTCAAAATTTTTTCTTCGACCAAGATCATAACGCCATTTTGGAGTGGTTTTCTTCTCGTATGCCTGTTCAAAAGACAATAAAAGATTCATTCTTCAATTGCAGTCAATATCTAATGAATATGTCCTCCTGAAGGAAGGAGAATATGTCACTTAACAGGCCAAAAGATGATCACTGGTTTCTTATTCTTACACAAGTAGGTGAAATCAGTTTACAATCTGTTTGGAATCAGAGTTTTTACAAAAGTTATTAGTTTTAAGTTTCCTTCTCATGGGTGAGGTGAGGTGTTAACAAGATCTATAATTGAGCATTTTCTGAATTAACTCCTTTGATATATTTTTAATTCAGTTCATCAACTATTAACAAAAAAGTTTATGCGTTCACCAAGTTTTGCATATGAACAACAATAAATAACAATGTCTTTTGTAACATTTTCAGTACACTGGCCTCCTTCCCACAAAAAAAGTAGGCAAATTTAAGGAATACAGGAAAAATCACATTCAATGACCAAAACTGAATACCTCTATAGTTGTAGTGTTAGCAGCCACCAGTGATATGTGCATGATTAAGAACCCCAACACGCTCAATGCAAATGCCAGGTTCAAAACTGATAAAAGGCAACATAGTCATACATGAGTACCTATCCACAAAATTGAAGAGGCCAGGATAAAAATAAGAGGGGAAATCAAACCATACCAAAGGCAAGAAAAGTGGTGGCAAGGGTGCCTGGTGTTCCAGGAATTTCTCCATCACTAAAGAATGCTATAAAATGTGGCAATAAGGCCAAAGTCACAAGAGTTGTCTCAAGAAACGTGTAGAACTGCAATGAGATTCAATAGTCAATGGAAGGCCAAGAAAGCAGGAACATCAATCTGGCAACAGCTCAATGCTTGCAAGTCATAAATATATTGCTATAACCAACAAAGAGAAAGAAGAATAGGTCATTTTTCAAAGATGAGTAACAGTTCTCCACAGAAATCAGTCCCAAACAAATATAATGAGGGAAAACACATATCTCATTGTCAAACTGAGCTCAGTTGGTAGAACCAAAAATCGAAACTTTGAAAAGCTAAGAACATAAAGAGCATTAGACTTCCAGAGAATAATAACCATGTCAAAAATAATTCTTCAATATGGCTGACATACCAAGAAAAGAAGGAAAAACTTGTAGTTTAGGGCACCAACACAGTTCACAACCCACACACAATGATGGTCCATCTTCAGCACACAGCGCCCACCTAAACCAAAGAAGTTGAATATAAACTCTGTTCTTTAATAGGGAAACTATCATCATACTAAGAAAAATCTACAACTTGGAGGATTTTGTGCTTGAGGAACTTACAAACAGAACAGTGATGGCACCTTGGTGGTTTCGGTTGGGCACACTTCCGACAATAGCGAATCCTTTGATTTGATGGTTCAGAGTGCAAAGCACTGAACTCTGATCCATTCAACACATCAGCCCCCCCTGTTTCCTCATCCACAACAGGCCTCCAGTTAGGAGGTACACTACCTGGGTCGGTGAAAACAACAGAAAAGTAGCTCCACAACAGCATCACTAGCTGTAGAATCAACCACATATAAATTCCATTTTTCAATGTTAGTTCCCTCCACATTGTCAAACAGACACTCCCTTACAGTCTTTATAATTAAAACTTGAGCTTGAGACATTATTAAAAAAAGTCCATATTTGCGGCAAATACAGCATTGGAAATCCTTATAAGCTAAATCTAAACGTCATTCCATCCATTGAATTCCTACACCAACAGGAACACAAAACGAGATCCAGATAGACACCAAAATCTAAGACAAAAAAAAAAAAAAAAAAAATCATATCTATCATGTTTTTAGCAAATTGGTAAGACATGAATTACAGCCAAAAAAAGAATGCACTGTCTTGCAGAAGAAAGGTGAACAATTCCTTAAACCCTTTTTCTTATCTGATTTTAATTAGTAAAAGGACTGAATATCACCAGGCTTCTTAACCAAAAACACAAATATAAATATCTAAAACCCGAATAAACTCTAAAAAAAAACACCCTTAAAACCCCATAAAGAAAAAAGGCAAAACAAGTTCTCAAAATCAAGAAAGTAAAGGTCTTTGAGTGCTTACCAAACAATGAAACAAGATCACAACAGCGAGAGCAGTAACAGAATCAAGGCCACCCTCGTACAAAGCTGGACCATAATTTGTCAAAACAACAGCATAGTATGTGACACCCACAACCCCAAGAACCAACAGGATCATGATCGAGCCCAGACCCCTCAAGGCGGTACAGAACCTGAACACGTTCCACGCCATCGTCACTCCAGATCTGTGCATAATACCAAGCTATGAAGATCAGAAAAACTCGATCTTTCTTCCTGGGAAATACAGTCCCTTTCCTTGTTTTTCACAATTTGATGAAGCAGACTTAAAAGCTCCAGTATTTTGCCAACAGCTCGGCTGTATATAGGGGAGTTGGTAAGCAGTAAGGAATGTGAACGGACAAACAAGAAAGCGGGGAAAGTCTATGTCTTTGATTTCTCTGGTATATTTTGTGTAGTGGTTCCGTAAATCTGGGTTTATGGGATTTTAGTTATTACGGAATTGCATAATATTATCTTTAAAACCTTTTGGGTGGAAGATTTTTTGGTCCAGCTGAAATTTATTACTAAGGAAAATGTTTAAATATTATTAAATTTGATAAATATTAGATTAATGAATTGACAAATATAGTAGTTTAAATAATTTTACAAAAATTCTTTTTATTTATTTATGTTTTATTGTCCTTATTAATCGTTTCCCAACAGCTTATTTCGATTTAGTGATATTAGATCTTGGTTAAGGTCATTTATCGATAAGTTGTATGTTTGAACCTTACGAAATCTTTTTCTCCTTTCTCGCAATTAACTCTGTAAATAATTATAAATTGTTTAAAAAAAAAAATGTTAATCGTTTCCTTTATGATATTTTTTTTCTTTTTTCATGCTATCTCTGTGATCCTTTGTCATTTACTTTCCATATATTCCAAAATACTTATTTTTTAATTTTGAATTTATTTTAAATTAATTGTTATTTTTATTTAATTATTTTATTTTTATAATAAACAAAATTTGTTAACTATATTATTATTTATTTATCAAAAAAATTATCTTTTATATATCTTTTTCAAATGTAATATAAATATAATAAATATATAAATTATCTTTAAATTTTTAATTTAAAAAATAATAATTATTTTGAGATAGGCTAAAAAAATCCGAACTGAATTGGTAAGATTAGCGTTTATTGGCAAAAAAAATCACACTACTCTTAATAAGAAAACAAAACATACTATAAAAATGTCTTCAAGGTTCAAGCTATACAAGTTGGTCATGAATGATGAATCTAGAAGGTGGCTACATAGACTTTATTTTTCACACGGTGTAAGGTCTACTCTAGTACAATATTTGTTCTTTGACTCTCTCCCCTTGAGATTTTTAATTATATAGCGCAAATGTCAAATCCCCAAACACTTTTTCTAACGATTTTTTCTTCGTCTTCTTCTTCTTCATTTTTTTTTTCTCATTTTTAAACGCAAGGGAATTTGAGAAAAATGTTGTATTTCATTAAAGTCCTACCTGGGATTTGAATAGTCAAGCTAGAAAGGTCCAACCTGAAATGACTTGAGATAAAATGGCTGAATTCTTTTCAAGTCTTTTTTTTTTTTTTTTAATAAACAGAGAATCATTTTTAGGATAGAGAATTTGAATTTTTAATCCTATAATA